GGGGGGGGGGGAGAGTAGTAGTGAGTCGGCTGGCGGCGTGTGTAAACAACACATTCCATTCATGTGTCGCGTGCGTGACTCATCCACCGCGATAACGCCGAATAATCTAGATCGATATAATAGTCAACAATTCGACTCGTAGATGTCGTAACGACTTGAAACAAAGATCATTGGGATGGGAAAATTATCGCGCTTCCGATGGATGCGGAATAGATGGATCAAATAGCATAATCATGTAAGTACAAAAGACACTGGTTTTTGTGTTTGCGTAAAAACGGATATTAATCTAAGTTGAAAACTAACAAGAAATCTTGGCTTAGATTTGTAATCCGAAACGTTTTATGTTTGTTTCGACGTGTATAAAGTGAAATTTAAAAGAAAAGCAAAATTATTTAACAGGAACTTTTTATTTTTGATAGCGAGTATTTTTTGCTGTAGTGCCGAAATTCAGATAGCTAGTAAAGTTAGCTTCAGTAACAACGATATTAATTGTCATTATTTTAACGACATGTTTTACTGTCACAATTATAATATATTTTAACTTCCGCGGCTAATCTTTTTTCCGCATACGTGATAGTTATGAACTCAAGCGAGTTGTTAATTATTAAGTTAAAATTGTTATCGAATCTTGCAATAATTGCAGCCATATAGAAACGCGTACAGAGTGCTATTAGAATGCTAATGAAAAATTCAATGCTTTATTGAGAGAAGAAATTTCTAAAAAATAAAATATATTTATATTTTATAATAATATATCTACTTGTACCGATATACACATTTTTACATTGCAAAAACATTGTTCTCAAATAAGGAAATATACATTTTCCTAGAATCATTGCTTTTTATGAAATCAACTATTCTATTCTTATTCTATTCTAACTTATTCTATTCAGAGTTGTAAAAATATCAATTAAATTCGCCTCAATTGAATAATTGATTTGAGTAAATAATTTCTAATTTAATTAATTGACGATTAATATAAGCCTATACAATTGAAAATATTTTAATTAACCACTAACTTCAAGAAATCTAATTAAAAATCATTCAATTAACTGATTTGAAGGAATTTAGTTAAAAACTGTTGAATTAAAGATTAAAACGAGCGAAAGTAGAGCGAAAGATATTTCGATTAATGATTGAATATAGTCAATCTAATGAAGGGTTATTTAATTGACAATTGATATAAGCAATATATATATATATATATATATAAGCATATATTCAACTCGGTTGGTTACCACAATGCAAATAACAATGTAAATAACTGCGATTAATTTCGATTGACATCGATTGGTCAATCGTCTTATTGCGCTTTTCGATTAAATTTGCTTATATCAATTGTCAATTAAAAAACCTTTAATTACATTGGCTATATTTAATTGTTAATCAAATAATCTTTAATTATTTTCGCTCATTTTAATCGTTAATTCAACAGTTTTTAATTGAGTTCCTTCAAATCAATAGTTAATTAAATGATTTTTAATTAGATTTATTGAAGTCAGTGGTTAATTAAAATATTTTTAATTGAATAGGCTTATATTAATCGTCAATTAATTAAATTAGAAATTATTTACTTAAATCAATTATTCAATTGAAGCGAATTTAATTGATATTTTGCAATTCTGCTTGTAAGTTATTTGATTAAGTTTTTTTATGTTTAGACTGATTGATGCTTGTTAATATAACTAATGTAGAAAATTATGTTTTTGTTGCAGATTTAGCAGAGTTGACGGTTACGCAGTGGAAGCAGTGGCAGTTTCGGTGGACACGGATGCCGTACCGGAGGATCCGGTTCGGGCAGAGCAGGGTCGGTTCGAAGGTAAATTTGATGAACCTCCTTATACTTCTCCTTTAATCCTTTGTGGTCGAAAGCTAAAATACAGTTAGAATGACAGGAATTACGACTGCAAACGATTAATCCATTCATATCTGCACTTGTGCGTCAAACTTAATTCGTGAATCTAACCTGGTAAAATATGTTTTTTTTGTTATAGATTTATGGAACGGAGAGTGACTGACCCTGAGTTCGGTGAGTCAAAAAAAATGGTCAAAATATTAAGGTGATAGGTACAAAAAAAGTTTTAGGTGGTGGGTTTGTTTCCGAAATATCGTCAAAATCAATGCGATTTACTTTGATAGATTTTTACACATTATTTTCTACATTTAAATTTTGCATGCAAATACAAACAGCTATATGAAAAACAGTGATATAAATCGAGCGTTTTGGAGAGCGAAAGGTTTCACAAAAATTTCGCACAAAATTTGCTATTAAAAATATATTCTGAAGATTTACTTAAATGAAGTCTATATTACAATAATTATTATAAAATTGTGCAATATACATCACACCGTTACTATAACAGTATTTGTTTATATGTATTTTTCCAAGTTTTGGAATTTACGGAAAGTTTTCACTATTATTTATTTATGTCACTGTTTTTATCACAGTTCGATTATCGGATACCATTGTTCGAATATTGTCGAGCGAAGCTCGACGTTGAAATCACGCGAAGTACATCGCGAAGCATTCACACGTCGAAATTATTCAGTTGTTCGCGGAACTCACGATATTTTCGCTCGCCTTAATGCAATTTCGCGATCGCGGCAATCTTTCGTCTCTTTAAAGCTTGTTAAGTCCGTCGACGTATCGTGGAGTAATTAACAGGATTTCACGCGATCTAGTAATTATTTCGATCACGGCCACGTTGATTTCGTGATCGTCGTGAACTTTAATTTTCAATTTCACATATAGGAGGTCGCGCGCGAGACTTTGTTTTTACAGGTTGCGATTATCTTGCCCGCTCGTGCCTTAATAGATTTTGCGATTGTCGTGACTTTTCATTTTCGCCTTTTACATATGCACTCGCGTCGTCGTTGCGTCCGTGAGATCGATATACGTATATTTCATAGTAGTCGGTTATGTTTTGCTCACGTATTCGCGATTTGGCGAGTGGCTATTTTCAGTTTTCGCTTTTTGACGTTTCGTTAAATTACACTCGCCGAGATATTTCGCAAGCGAACTTCGTGCAAATATTGCGGAGTATGCTTCGCAAATAAATTGAGGAGCGATCTCTGCGCAATGGCGCAGAATAGCAGCCGTCGCATAAGAATTGCGAAGCCATTGTGCGTGACAGTTTCACGCCACTTGCGATTATTTCGCTTGCGTTTCGCGCCGATAGATTTCGCGATCAATGCAATCGCTCTTTAATTCGCATCGGAAGATATGCTCTCTAAATACATCGAGGAGCGATCTCTGCGCAATACAGCAGAGCATAAGAATTGCGAAGCCATCGGCGTGACGATTTCACGCTACTTGCGATTATTTCGTCCGTTTATCGCACTGGCGCGGCCGGTGCAATCTTTAGCTCTTTAATTTACATCGGGAGCGAATTGTACGCGAATGCTAAGATAACACAATTACAATGAAACAACTTTACAATCCGTCACGGATAAAATGATAAAATTCTCATTACGTTCGATACGCATATTTCACGTTGGTTTCGAACATTAAAATTGTTGTGAATTAGAGTTCTCTTCGAAACTTCTTTTGGAAAGTACAATCGTGATTCGCATGAGACGAAATATCTATTTTTGTCTTTGTTTTAATTTAAACTTCGCGATTTTCAATACGGGTTTTTACGGTTTCGCGACTCGCGAGTGTATTGTGAAAATATCAGACTTTATCGTACGTTTCGCTTAGTCGTCAAATATTATTTAAATTATCGTGTCGCGAATAAAATAACGCGAGTGAAGTGCAATCAACGTGGGACGACGCTGCGAAGGATCCTGAGGAGGTTGGGTGCCGAGGATGCTACTGGACTTCGATATATTTCAACATGTTTGGTGAGTGTACAATAATACGCTTACAGAGCGTTATATTATACACACATATAGAATAGATGTAAATCGCATTGATTTTTGACGAAAAGAGCAAAAATAGTTACACGCTACTGCTCGGAACCGTAAATATCTGATGAATATTTTTGGACAATTTGATATCACGATTACATGAGATAATTATTATTATCTCCGATTTTGATTAATTTAGCGTATACAGATTTTGTTTGGATAATCCTGACTATAACAATCAACACGTAGGAATTTTAATTATACAGGATCCTCAAAAAAATTATCAAATTATTGTCATACAAATGAAAATGTAACATTATTTTAGAGAAATTTAATTCGTATGCTAACATATTTTAAATCGAAATTTAAACTCTATTGTAAGCGTTGCAATTTGGTGATTTATGTTTTTAATAATATTTCGTGAGTTGTAAATTCCATTTTAAATAAATGCATTTTTTTCTTCTTCTCTTTAGTCTTGTTATTGTATTAAATTTAAATTTAAATTTTTATTAGTGCTTTTAAATAGTTATTGGAAAATTGCTAAGCTTGACTTTATACAGTTGTCATTTCCTTCAAATTCGGCGGACTTTGCAAGGCTATAGAATTGAAATTTCGACTTAAGTTGTGTCATTTATTTACGGTTTCTTCACGCGGATATCAAATGACATATTTATTTGTTTATTTATCTATATATATGTTATCGAATATTTATTATATATGTGCATTATTTGCTCTCTATATATTTCTACATTTATTATATTTGCTCTCTATATATTTTTACATTTATTATATTTATATTTCTAAATTATCTTACTACACTGAGAAAAAATATTTGATATTCGTAACTTTAATCGCATTAAAAAATGATTACTACGAATTATGGTTTAGAAAACTATTTTTTATTAAATTCTACTATAATATTAGTGATAATAACCTTATATCCATGTTACTACTATTATTAGCGTGTTAGAATAATCAAAAAATATGGTTGGGGCTAAAAATAAATATAGTTCTAGTTAAATCAACTATTTTTTTTTTTTAGTGTAATGAGAAATACGTACGCTTCTCACTGACTTGATTTTGCTGTGCTTTCTCTGTAACATATCCGCGGAATATCATACGCTTATTTTTTTTCCGGACGTCTGCTAAATTGACGCCATTCCTTAAACACTCGTATATCCGTGCGTTCGTTCAAGAATACAACGCGGGTCGATGGAAACGGATTCTTTTCACAAATATCTGGCGGTATAAACCGGTGTTTCGATACGTGCGTGTACACGCGTTCCTTTTGTTATGGAATCCCCGCGTGAATTATGACCATCCAATAGAGGGAACCCCCCGCGAACGGTATATTGGATTTGCGATACGCATTTCGCGTGCCTCGTGATACTCAAATTTCAGCCGGTAAATCACGGCATGCCTAGCTCAGTGCAACCTCGAGAGGGTCGGCAGGAACTTGCGATTTCTCGGGGTAAACGCGACGCGGAATCATCGTTCCTCTTTAAATTCCCGGTTACATCATAGTCGCTGACGATCTTCAGCTTCCTCGTAACGGATACGTTTGCAGATGAATAAAAAGCAGTTATCTGTGTGATCAGTTAGCGAGAGTAGGGAACTGGAACGCTTTAGGGTGGAATATTTCGATGTTGTACTTGGTCGCGTTAAGAAATATTGATGCAGCGTCGATTGTAGCTATCTACGCAACGAACGCAACGTTCGTCTTGCTGAGATAGAAGGGGATTGAGTTTTATATTTTATCAGACAATCGTCCCGCTGATGTTTCCCTGATGCATCTTAACTCTCGTCATGTTTTATTTCACAGCTTTAACATTAACACCTACTACTTCGCTTGTCAATTGGAAGTGAAAGTCCTCGCGTCTCGATGTGAAATTTTCTTGATATTTTTACCTTATTAACTTATCTTATTAATAATAATAATCTTATTAATTCCTCGCTATATATATGGCAGAAGAAACTTTAATTTGTCGATCGACAAAGCAGAGACGCGAGGAATCGCGAGGTTGAGCAAAAAATAATGCAGATATGAATGTTTTCGAGGTAGCTCCGATCTTGGGGCGATTGTAAGAGTTTCGTTTAACTTACACTCACGAATTCCTTCGCGTATTGCAATGAGGGTGCATCGATGTCGGGTCATCATTGTGCCCGTCGCGTTATCGGACGCGCGCGAGCGCCCTTCAATAACCTCGATACAAAATTCTTTTCACGTTACCCTCAATGGCTATAGGAAATATGTGAAAGGCAGGCCCGTCGTCCGATTCAACCGGCGCGATGTTGGCCGAGGCCTTTTCTCTGTAACGCGAATGGCGTTTGCGAGGCGTCTATAAGCGCGGACCCCCGCGCGTTTGGTCCCCCAGTAATGAAACATAAATTATTCAATCGAAATCAGCTGCGAACCGCCGAGCGTCGACGTCTGCCACGACGCTGGTACTTTCCGGTCGAAAGCGGCCCTTTAAACCGAAACCCCCGATCCTTGCCACGAGGAGGAAGGCGGTGAAAGCGAAACGGCCGCGGACCTTTATTTTTATTCTTTTTTTACGTGCACACGTTCATTTCGAACGATTTCATTTTTTTTCCTCGAGAACTGAATATCGTCTGGCGTGTACGCACCTTCAGTTTTCATTCGAGTGGATAATTGAAAAATTTCTGCTCTCTGTTACGGGCCGAATCCTCGTTATATCGAATCCTATAAAATTTTCATGTTTTGCTTAAAGAGCAGATTTTAAAAGATTGGCAAATATCGTCATACAAGTGAAAATGTAATGTAATATTTTATTTATAGGTTATTTTATTTTAATATAAGGTTATTTAGGTTATATTATTTTAGAGAATTTTTTATCGCGCGCGCGCGGATCGATGCTTGAGCGTGTTCTAAATATAAATAATGAAAAGATTGATACATCTCTTAAGGAAAAAGGCACTTGACGAGAAGGAAATTCTAATAACGCGTTCCCATTACGCGTGTAAAATATATTTCACATGTCTCCCGCGTAAGAGACCCATCGGAAACAGGACGGCACACACCTCGTGCATCCCCAAGGACCTCTCTCGATTCCACTTCCGGAACGGGCGCGCGTTTTAAAATTGAATGCGCGGCTCGATTCCGGGCGTGTCGACACGCGTGTCGACGTCGACAGGGAATAGAAGACGTTTAGGTGAGGC